TTTTTAGGTAGAGACAGGTTTCGTGTCGCTAACCCATTTACGAGGCTAGTTGAGAAGACAAGCCGTTATCTCTACGGAAGAAATTGCTTTTGGTTTTATCACGCAGTTGCGATTGATATAGATTGATCATCTTGACCCTCTCATGGGGTAGATAAATCATTCTCAGGAAGATAGGGCTGAACGATGAGCATGACTAGTCGCCAAGAAATCTCGAAACGCGTGCACCGCACTTCAGGGAAAGAATTCCGTTTCATTATTTTTCATGCTCCCTTGTAGGCGGCGTAATTTTATTTTAATTTTAATATTATTTTATTATTCTACATAATTCCGTCTTATTTGGCATTTTTCTTGAGTGTCAGACTTTTAATTGTATTATTTTATTTTCATCATCTTTTTAATAAAACTTAACAAATTTATTAATATTTATCTAATTTTACTACTTTTTAAAATTACATAATATATACAAATCAAAATTATATATATCATTTCAATTTTATTAATTTTGTTTATTTCATATTGCGCATTAATTTCATTTACAAATTTGTTTACTTATGTTTTAATTAAACACGTTTATATTTAATATTTTTTTTTAGTTCTATAATTTAAATTTCACATAATTTTGTTTTTTTATAATTTTTATTAAAATCAATGTGAAAATATTTATTTTACATTGATTTTCATTAAGTGAAATCAATGTAAAATTGATTTCATTTAGGCTATATGACTAATTTAAAACATTTCCTCTCATATAAGTAAAATAAAATATTTTAAACCAGAGCTCTATATATGATCGTAGTCGAAAGTAGTCGAAAGTTTGTCCCACTTTTTGCAATTGCTTAATCATAAATATTAATAGTATTCGATAGTAGAAGTTTGCGCTCATTGTAACATTTCTCAGAAACATAAGTGCTCTCTGAATACGCTTTGAGAAATGTGTCGTAAGGCAGGACCACATTTCCTAGTCACGGCATGGTCCTGCCCGAGGGTTTTTCCGTACAAGTTCCAACTCCCGTGATCCTCCGTTCGAGGATTGGTCTCTTTGGCAGGACCTCGACATTCTTCGACAAGTTCAAAAAGTCGCCTGGTATACCGATCTACTTCGAAAACTTCGCGATCTTTACCTCTGCGTATTTGAAGCGGAACAAAACACGTCTGACCGCTTTAAATTACCGGAGAAGATGGGAAAGTTTTCTCGAAAGCCCGCCATCGCATTTAACAACGTGCAGATAAAAACTTGGAATAATAACATGGACAACAAGGTTTTCGAAAGTACAGCTGAGTTTCGTCATTTTGATATAGCGCAGTGCGACTTCCGAAATAATATTTGTATATTACGTAACATATAAATTTTATATAATTGTCCAATCTATCTGTAATAAGGTGAATGTCTCAGTGACCGAACATCTACCTATGTCTAAGCATTTATTTGTTTATATAATTATTAATCACACACAAATGCCCTTTCAAATATAATATTATAATTTAATTATAATCTTTAAATACAGTCAAATTATAATATATTGTAATAAAAAAAGTATTTGAGATTAATAGTAATAAATTTAGTGTAAGTGTTCCCACAATAGATATGTACACGTGTTCGATCACTGGGACTTTTATCTTATTTACTTATTTTTTGTTTTAGACAAACAATAATAAACGCTAATACAAATAATAAACAAGGGGATAACCACTCTTGAATTCCGGTGTACATCTGCCAGAAGTCCTTTGAATTCCTCGAAGTCCGATCAAGTCCAGCAAAGTTCGATGAATTCCGATGAAGTCCGATGAATTCACGAATTCTTCAAAGTCCGATAAAGTCTGGTAAAGTTCGTCGAAGTCCGGTAAATTCCAGTGAAGTCCGTGACAATCCGTGAAGTCCGGTGAAGTCTAGTGAAGTCCGTGACAATCCATGAAGTCCGGTGAAGTCTTGAAGTCCGAAGTCCAGATATACACCTATTTTCTGAGTGCTTACCCCCTCGATCATAAAGCAACTTTTAATCAATTTTGATGTTAAATTTTGATCGAATTATTAAATTTTAATATATGTATCTGATTACAAAATATAATATGATGTACTGTATAAAATTAACTTTAAAAAAAATATATCAGGTGCAACACGCGTCCTCCATACAAAAGAATTGAAATAAAAAATTACTGCCAATTTCTCAGTACAATTGAATAATTATTGTAATTGCGTCTATACAGAGTGTCTCAAAATTTGAGAGTAATACTGCAGTGTAAAAAATTAAGTAATAAAAGTATAAGCCATTTTTTCCGTAAAATAGTATTTTAAACATAAAAGTTTAAAATTTGATTAATCGTAAATATTGATTAAAAAGTCATCTGTCCGTACGATAGTCTACGTACAGCGGCAATGTTTTGTTTAGTGTTTAATATCATGCACTTCACACAAATAGATAACTTTTTAACTAATGCTTATGATTAGTCAAATTTTAAATGTTCATACTTAAAAAACTACTTTACGGAAAAAATGGCTTATAGTTTTGTTTTATTTAATATTACTTAATTTTTCACAAAGTTTCACGCTATAATAATATTCTCGAATTTCGGGATGCCCTGTATACATATTATAAAAGCATCTGACATGTAAAATAATATAATAATAATAATGTTATATTATTATTCTTTAGAGCTTTAACTGACAACACTTAACTTTAATAATAATTTCATTGTCATCAGTATTACAATACATACAATTGTATTATTCTGTCGCAAATTGTATTCATTACAAATTTTAAATTGTACATATAAAGTAGTCTCAGGATAAAGCATGACATACAAAAAATATAAAAAAAATATAAAAATATGACACGATTGGGTTAATATATTTTTATTTATTATATTTATCATATATATTCATATAATTAATGCAAGAGGATAAAACATATATTATATTGTATGTATAATATAATATACCTGGTATATATTATATATCTATAGAACTAGTATAATAACCTACACTTACATTTATGTATATATTACTATAACCTGAGCCAAGATTTTGTATGTTTCGTTTGTTCTTAACCGCTTTAACAATTTAAAATTTCCAATAGAATTCGCGAAAAGATACCACAATTGTATCAATCGTAAAATACCGAAATTATTTTTAAAATTAAATACTTGTCAGTTAATAATATAAAAAATAATAATTTAACGAAATATCATTATTATTTTATACGCATTATATTTTTTATTAATATATAGGCAAAGTATAATAATTACACAGGTCTAAAATTAAAGGGTATCACATGAAACTTTATATTGATTTCTGGAGGAATTTGGTGCGCTGAATCCAAATTTGGCCTCAGAATGACGCCATCACGTCAGGATTTTGAGATATTCTAACCTAAAAGTGCAAAAATTGCTGTTTTAGGGCATTATTGGAATTTTCTTCTGGTTACAGAGAATTTTACCGACAAAAACTAAACAAAGTACCATAAAGTACAAGTCTTACCCTTTAATTTCCATTTTGAAACGTCCAAATAGGATTTTTTTCACTGAGATACAACAGATTTAAGTTTTTACTGCATACAGAAAATAAAGCGATGATGTCGGTTTCATTTGAAATACCTTAACCCTTTTGAAAATCACAAGAGACCTTTTATATTTGAAATTTTACGCAGAGTGCGGCAATATATTTTTTATTTTCAAATTTTAAATTTTCTGGATCGACGTCCTCTATATTGAATCCGCCATCTTGAATTTTGGAAATCTGAGTCCAGATTCGTGAGCAGTGACCCTCGGGACCCTTACTGACTGTCGGAGAGAGCGGGAGGGGGATAAGAACTTTCGTCCATTTTTAAAATCATTTTAAAGCCGTCTCATCATTTAGTTTTATCCAAATTGTCATTTACAAATGACAACGTAACAAAGATTAACGTGTTATTTTTCGCTCCTAATATCACAATTCAATATAGTTGTGATGACCACATACGAGCCTTAATAAACATGTTATAATTAATATAACACCAATTTAATTGTTTTAAATGATTTCTTGCTTAAGACCACCCTCAGAACTTACTATGGATGGAAGATGCGACAACTCCTCTGATGACAAATAACTCTGTTTACAACGCATTTAACCGAGCAATCAGATTCCCTCCATTCAAAACATAGAACTCCATATTCTTTCTTATGCATCGAGATAAGCCCTTCTTCCTCTTCTTCTCTCAAGTTTTCGATATCTTTTTAACCCATTTACACTCTTTCCACGATTTCCAACGCAAATATCCACTTACAAGGGATGATCGATCTACCACCAAAGCTATGTGAAATGTCGACTGCATGTGCAGGTCGATATCATAATTCACACCCTTTATGTAATAATAAGTTAATTCTTTCCTTGCGTTCCATAAAAATTATCCTGTTTCATATAACGCATCTTACATATAGAGAATATAAAAAGCATATAATATATATCTTACATATAGAGCATCCCAAAACTCAATATTCCAATATCTTAACATGCATATTTAAAGTTTGTAAAACAAAAAACCAAAGAACTAATATCTAGATATCCATAATATATATCTAAATATCTTTTCTAAAATATTTTCATTCATATTTTTTTAGTATAACCTTTTTACAAATGTCACAATTGATGCTTTTTTGAATATGTGAAAGATAAAAAACTCCAGTTTTTTTTTCAAGCAATGAAAATAATGTAAATATTTGAAGAAATTATATGCAATAATATATACATAATTAAATAAAAAGCAACAACCTAGAATTATTATTCAGTACAGCTGCGTTCAGCTAACTTAATAGTAAGCGCTCGCTGTTATTGATATATTAAAATTAATTTATTCCTACACGAGTGCGAAAATAATTTGTTTTAAATTGCATTTTTAATTGCATAAAAACATTTTAAAGATAAAAAATGTTAATCTCGCTTACATAGGCAAAATAAGTTCTGAGATAAATATAATACAATTAATAATAAGTTATATATAATTCTATTACAAGAAATATGTACGAACCTGTTCTGTTGTTCGTCGACAGTGACGGACGGGAGGGTTGTTGGTCGTCGGCAAGGTGATTGCTCGCCCTTTCGTGTTCACCGGCCCTTGAACCGCTCAAGAGCGGTCAGACGACCCTCCTTTGATCCCTTCACTAGTCCCGGAACGAGCCCTACGCCCGTACTACGCATACCAGGGATTCTGCAACCATCAAAAAGCATCCTTGTCATTCCTTCAATATACGTTGAGCATACCGCATCTTAATGCTAGATTTCGCGTACATGATACAAAATGTTTCAAGAACGCTGGATGTTTCTTTCCTAGCTTATTCAACTAGTTTGTGGATTTTTCCTTATCAATATGTCAATACTCATGGAGTAATTAGTACATAATTGAAAATTTATGTTAAATTTAACGTATTTTATTTATATTAAACTATGCATTTTTTTCCAATTTATCCATTTTTGTGCTAATTTTTAATACAAAATAGATATATTCAAATATCAATGGAAGGAATTAATAACTTGTAAAGGCCATCCACACAAAATTACATAAGCTGCATAACTAGAGCTCAGGCAAAAGATTCGAACATGTTGAATATTCGATCTATTCAAATAGTTCGAAGTTGGAAAAAATGAGCATCTAATTCGTATATTTCGGACAGTACGAACAGTCCGAGCTTAAGCAGTGATCAGTATGAAACGTCAATTCGTTATGTCTGAAGTTCGGATGGTTCGGACAGTAAACAAATATGGTATGCCTTGGAAACAAAAGAGCAGTTTTTCACGAGACTTGAATATACAAACATTACAAAAATGTCGAAAAGAAAAAGTCGCGTCATATTCAGTCATATTCAGGTTAACCCTAAGGATAACTTGTTATGTCTGAGTTTGGAATGTAATAAATTCGAACTTTCAGCTCTGAAGTGGGTTAAAATAGTTCGAATATACGTTTAGTCCGAACTATTTAACGTTCGAACTTGAGAATCGAACTGTCCGAACTGTCAAATCGTCTAATGTTTCCAACCACTATGCATAACCATAGCATAAGGCCACTGAACCAATAAGCATCCAACATAAAAACGCCATGTTGATTTACATAAGATGCTCATTGGTATACATAGAAGGCCTTATGCTATGGTTATGCAGCTTATGTAATTTTGTGTGATGGACTTAACGCTGTTACCGTTACAAGTTACTCTTTTTTTTTTTCGGTAATGGCCTAAATCTATATTCTGTACACGTCTATACCGACAGTTGTCGGTGTCGATAACTATAACGATAGCCAATAGCCAATAGCAAGAGCTATCCTAGAAAAAAAGCGCGATTCTCATTGGCTATCGCTACATAACGATACCGACACCGTTGATAGTCGTGTACAGAATATGGGTCCTGATAATAGCTTTTTTGGTACAATATAACGGTAACGGAGTTACATTTTTTCGTAACGGTAACGGTACAAATTTTATAATTACTTCTGTCGTTACTTTTTATATAATAATTTGGACTTATTTATATAATTATCGCCTGTTCAATACTTTAATCTGCAGCCTTTGATCGATTCATAATTTGTTGTTATATTTAAGGTGGTTCTTCAATAAGTTACCATGGAAATGTCTAATTTCTTGGTATAATGAAGTACCGAACTTGACGTGTACAAAATTCTAGGGTAGGTTAACATTGAAATGAGAGAGAAAGAATGTTGAAAATGTAACTTTTAACGTATAACATATATAGTGACAAAAATAAAGATTAGAGACATTTCTTTGACCAACGGCACATAAATATTACCACAGACTTCTCCAAAAAAAAAAACGAGATTATAATAGTTCAAGAAATTACTGTAATTGACGAATAAAAAGTAATACATTTTACATTATGTTACCATTAATTTTTTTAAAAGTGATACTGTAATAAGAAGTTTTAAGATTATATTTGGATCGAGATTCGGATATATTTGAATATAGATGTTACGAAATCTTTTTTTTATTTCACTCTGGCGGTAAAATAAAAAAGCTAAACAACGTACGTTTCAGCTATAAGTCAACATAGTGTACTATCGTGTCACACTGTGCACAGCGTATGTCTATCTTTTGTTGCTAAAAAGCATCCTATATCATTCAGCCTCATCTTTGAACACGAAAAAGACGTAATTCGTGTTCATCAAATAAACTAAATTAATATATATATTAATCTATTTTTACAACTACAATGAATCCAACTTTCAATAATGGAAAATTCTACATATTTAGGAGAATTGCGAACACTGAATAAACGCGAACGATACTATTGTAGTATATTAGATTAATGATAACCTGTCATTCAGTGTTGGTCTGAGGTAGACGCTAATAACTATAACATGACCATAGAACACATATTATTTAAAGAATATATGATTTTAATGTAGAGAGAAGAATAGACCAATTGCGCGCGCGAATATTTCCAAGAAAAGTTAAATAAAACCGAAGATTTTATTAATTATAGAAATTTTCATTCAGAGAATATTTGCTTTAAACTACAATAATTGACATTTACATATTATAATATAAAATATAATTTTAAACAGAAAAACAAAACTTATTTAGTATTGCTTCGCGTAGTAACGCGTGAGTATTTGTGAACAGCAAAAGTTTTGTTTTTTGATAAAAATTTAAGAATTACAGTTTATTATATTAAGAGTATATATAAATATATATAATATATATTATTTAAAGTTAATTAATAATTAAGTAATTTGATAAAATAACTGGAGTATCTTTTAAACAAAACTTTTATTAATTAATAAATAACTTGATAGCCGCATATCTCTTCCTTTAAATTGTCTCGGAGATGGTCAGACAGTAAAAGGATGAAAAGACACTATCTTTACTTAACTTTTCCTTTAACTATTCACAGTGTTCTCACTCTCTTCTACTGATAATAATAAAAACAAATATAGGTATTACGTAAAATATTATGCTATATATCAGGGAATGGAAGTAACTTGTTACTTGTAACGAAGTTACAGAGTTACAAGTTACTTTTTTGATAAATTTACTGGTAACTACGTTACTTTTTTTTTATAATTGTAACAGTAACATAGTTGCATTTTTTTGGTAATGATAACGAATTTTACAGTTACTTTTATCGTTACTTTGCACACGACTAAACACGGTTCGATTAGACACCACTCCATAGCGCTTGAGACTAGAAAAAACCTCTAGAAGACACCCGTCCGCTGTGAATAAAATATAATTTGTGAAAATATTATAAAATAATACAATAAAGAAATAAATAAAAATTATTCTAGTTATTCCTATGGAACGCTGCAAAAAAACAAAACTTACAAAATATTTGTATTTTATATCGCGCGATATTTGGTCTAATATTCAAAGAATTTAATCCGAAGTATTTAACAAAACTACCTTTTTCTCTGAATTTTTCATTCTCATTTTTCAGTTCTTGCCCAGCATCCTATGCATGTAAGTATCTCTCACGGTTTTTGCTTGAGGAAGCGTAAAAGAGAAAAAGTGGAGGTTAAGAAGTAAATGACGTAACTTTTATCAGCGACTATCGCAACTTTGCAAACTGTGCTATTGAGAAGAGAGGCCAATGCCTACGACAACGATGAGAATGACAAGGACGACAAGAATGACTCTTCTCATCCTGACGACGACAAGGTGCCGGAGGTTCGAAGTCGTTTAAAGTTAGACGGGACTTTGAGGGCCGCGTACCTCTTCCCTCAAATTGACCCAAAGATGGTGTCGGACGGTAAAGGAGTGAAAAGACACTGTAAGTACCGAATTCGGAAAAAGGAAAGAAAAAGTTCTAATTCCGTAACAATGAATGCTACGAAAATTTAATGTTTGACTAAAACAAATGTTGTTTTACTTTCTGAACTTCCAAAAACAATTTCCAAATTTCTTAATTTTAACTTTTCTATATCGTGAGGGGATGAAAAAAATTTTATTTATTTTCAGTTCAAAGCATAAATCAGGGATGATATGAATATAACAAATATATAAATGAAAATCACCTTGCCGATTCTCACCACTCAGAAATGCTTAAAAAAATTAATAAATGTAGAAAGAGTTTAAATCTGCGTTTGAAATTAATAAAACACGAATTATTATAAAAAATTTTAATTATTTTAAAAACAAAGTCTAAACATAATTCTCTAATTAATTAATATAATTTTATTCTAATTAATTGGAAAAATTAAAAGTACAAATCGAGAATTAGCGTTTAAGTATTACAAATAGAGAGGAGATGGTAATATTACAGTCTCCTATTTACATTTTATACAATAACTTGGTTAATAATAATAGTTTAAATTTAAAACTTAACGATTACATTCGTCAAAGTGTTATTTAATTGATTCTAAATTTAAAGTTACGAAACGTTTATTATACATAGGATATTTATTTATAAAAATGTGGCGACACTGCATTAATGATTCGAAGGAAACCAGAGCCTTCTACAAAAATAATTTAAAAAATCTTGGTTTGGTTACAAAATTAACAAAAAAGTAAAACATTTTAGAATGTATGCAAATAAATGTATATACATAACTTCGTCTGCATGTATAAGCTGCTCAGTACTAAAATCTCAGTATTAAAAATCGTACACGTAATATAAACTATAGATTAACAATAGAGATACAATCGATTATCAAATAATTATTTTGATATGAAAAAGGTCAAAAAAAAGGTCGTGAGTAGTCAATACCCATAAAGGGCCACATTAGCAAAATGCCATTGTTTAAATTTACATAACTCAAAATATATACAGTAAAAAAAAATAGTAAACAACAAACTTAAATATACATATATTCGTGATAATACGTTTAAATTTAAGAAAAATAAGGAATTAGATGTAATTAAAACGTACCTTAAAAACGTTACGAGATACTTGAAAGTAAAAATGCATTATAGTAAGTGCTGATTATCGTGTATTGGTATATTAGCGTCATGGTGTAACAGCGAGCTACGGAACAAATAGTTTCATAAGTAATCATTAAGATTCGTTATATAATAGCGGAGATATTAAGACCACAATATCTACACTGGCCATAATACCACCTTCTCCTCTATTAATTACTTCTATACTTCATATTATAATTAATAAATTATAAATTACAGTTTTAGAAATTTATAATATGATTTAAAATAAATTAATTTTATTGTATAATATTTTATTATACAATCCAGTCGCTATTTTATT